TTGAATTTAAAGCTCACTTCATAAGACAGAACTGATGTATGGTACTCCAAACCAGCATGGCTGGGCAGTTTATAGTCTGTAAGGAAGGACCTACTATTATTATTTTGCTAAATAGACATAGTATCAAACTTCTACCTTCTAAATACCCATAAAGAAGTGTACTTCTCAGCCCTCATTAAAGAAGCCCTCCCACCCCCAGTGGACCATGGTTAATAAAGAGATTCACAACTGGCCAAAGGGCAAGAGCATAAGTGACTGTGAAGTGCTTATCTCTAAATATGACATCTTTATCTCACCACCCTCTTTTCCAAAGTCTCAGTGAATATCAAGGAAGAGCCAGAGGTTAGGGAGAACTGTTGCCCAACTGTTTTCTGGATGTAAACAGAGCAAAGAACTGTGGGACTCATAATAGCTGTAGCTGCTTATGTAAGATCTGTAAAAGATCAAGGCAGTAAAAGTTCCAGAATGGATGGGGGAGGGGCTCATGAGGCCAACCACCATCTGAGGAACTCTTGACAGTTGATAGCTGCTAGAAAGGGAGAATTTTCTTCTGCGTAGCTCCAGCTCCACTGGATGATCCTACACTCATGATTACAGGCAGCACTAATTTGATTCAATTGTTTATTTTTAAAAGGTGGGAGTATGAAATTGGTTAAGAGACCTGGTTGGGCTGAGAGTTGGAAGGAATAGGGGGAAGTGGCAGTCAATATGATCAAAATATTTTACATAAATGTATGAAAGACAGAATCTTGGGTGTTGGAGGTCTGATAGAGGAAGTAAATTCATAAGTCAAAGAAAATGTTAAATCCAACCAATTCTTAACACAAAACATCCAGGAAATTTGGGACACCATGAAAAGACCAAACCTAAGAATAATAAGGATAGAAGAAAGAAAAGAATTGCAGCTCAAAGGCACAGAAAATATATTCAACAAAATCATAGAAGAAAACTTCGCTAACCTAAAGAAGGACGTGCCTATGATGATACAAGAACCTTACAGAACATCAAATAGACTGGACCAAAAAAAGTTCCCTCACCACATAATAATCAAAACACTAAGCATACAGAATAAAGAAAGAATATTAAGAGCTGCAAAGGAAAAGAGCTAAGTAACATATAAAGCCAGACCTACCAGAATTACATCTGACTTCTCAATGGAGACTATGAAAGCCAGAAGGTCCTGGACAGATGATCAGTAGACACTAAGAGACCACGATGCCAGCCCAGACTGCTATACCCAGCAAGACTTTCAACCACCATAGATGGAGAAAACAAGATATCCCATGACAAACCAGATTTAAATAATACCTATCCACAAATCCAGCCCTATTGAAAACTAGAAGGAAAGTTCCAAACCAAGGAAGTTAGCTGCACCCACAAAAATACAGGCAATAGATTATCTCACACCAGTAAACCCCAAAGAAGGGAAACACACACATTATCACCACAACTAACAAAACCAAAAAATAATAGGAATTAACAATCACTAGTCATTAATATCTCTTAACATCAATGGACCTATAAGGCACAGGCTAGCAGAATGGGTATGAAAACAGGATCCATCCTTCTACTGCATACAAGAAACACACCTCCACTTCAAAGACTTACATTACTTCAGAGTAAAGGGTTGGGAAAAGATTTTCCAACCAAATAGACCTAAGAAAGAGGCTGATGGGTAGCTATCATAATATTGAACAAAATAAGCTTCAAACTATACTTAACAAAGAGATGGAGAAGGACATTTCATATTCATTACAGGAAAAATCCATCAAAATGAAGTCTCAATCCTAAACATTTATGCCACAAATACAAGGACACCCACATTTGTAAAAGAAATACTACTAAAGCATAAATCACAAATCAAACCCCATACACTAACAGTGGGAGACTTCAACATCCCACTGTCACCAATGGCCAAGTCTGCCAGACAGAAACTTAACAGAGAAATAAGGGAGCTAACAGATGTTATGACTCAAATGGACTTAACAGACATCTATAGAACATTTCATCCAAACACAAAAGAATACATCGTCTTCTCAGCACCTCGTGGAACCTTCTGTAAAATTGACTGTATACTCGGTCACAAAGCAAATCTCAACAGATACAAAACAATTGGTATAACCTCCTGTATCTGGATCACCATAGCTTAAAGTTAGAATTGATCAACAACACAAATTACAGAAAGCCTACAAACTCATGGAAACTGAACAATGCACAACTGAATCACCACTGGGTCAAGGAAGTAATAAAGAATGAAATTAAAGACTTCCTAGAATTCAATGAAAGTGAATCCACATATATCCATACTTATGGGAAATGATGAAAGCAGTGCTAAGAGGAAAATTTATAGCACTAAAAGCCCACATAAAGAAGTTGGAGAAATCTCACACTAGTGACTTAATAGCACACCTGAAAGCTCTAGAACAAAAAGAAGAAAACTCACTCAGGAGAAATCAATGCCTGGAAATAATCAAATTGAGGGCCGAAATCCATGAAATGGAAACAAAGAAAACAATACAAAGAATCAATGAATCAAAGAGTTGGTTCTTTGAGAAAATCAACAAGATAGACAAATCCTAATCCAAACTAACCAAAAGGCAGAGAGAGAATATCCAAATTAACAAAATCAGAAATAAAAAAGGAGACATAACAACAGACACTGAGGAAATCCAGAGAATCATTAGGTCATACTTCAAAAACCTATACTCTACAAAATTGGAAAATCTAAAAGAAACAGACAATTTTATGGATAGGTACCACATGCCAAAATTAAATCAAGACCAGATAAACAATTTAAATAAACCTATAACCCCTAAAGAAATAGAAACAGTCATTAAAAGTCTCCCAACCAAAAAAAGTCCAGGGTCAGATGGTTCCAGTGCAGAATTCTACCAGAATTTCAAAGAAGAGCTAATACCGATACTCCTCAAATTGTTCCACAAAATAGACACAGAAGGAACACTGACCATCTCAAAGGATAAATAAAAATATATTCTATATGTACAAAGAAACATTTGTTCTCTTTTTCTAAAAGCCCATTCTACAGCAAAAAGAAAAAAGAAATTATTTCCATTATATTTGAATTTTAAAGTACTAGGGTCTGAGGAGACCATAGAATCAGCACTTCAAGTTTTGTTTCTCTCTCCCAAACTTAGATATCAGACTTTGTTGTTTACAATATAATTCCAACTACCTCACTTTTCTCCATGGGAAGGTTTTCCTCCCACTATGCTCTCTAACCCAGTGTTCTGTATTCCAGTCTACCCTACTTAGTTTAGAAGAGTGGAGATATTTTCAATAAGTTTATCATTCCCAGGGTGTGATTAATCAAAAAACAGTAGGGTCCATACCCCCTTGCCTTTCACAATATTACCAGAAAAATGCATCCCAAAGCAGAACTTGCCATATTGCCTACTAGCTTTGAGGCTTCTTCTCACAGAGGATTCAGCAGCTCCACTACAGGCTCAAGGAACTTCCCCCTTCATTTCACTCATCTCTAGCATCTGTCCTGCAGAGGTGTCCAGTGAGTTTTGCTGAGTTGAGCTTTTAATGAATATGCTCTCTAATTAGAGTGTCTTTCCTATTTTCATGCTTTGAATTCTCTTATTCCTGAATTGGGGAGTATTTAATACCTACTGTGTTTCAGGTTGTGAGATATTCTGGGGTCAAAATTAGAATAAAGTAGACCCATCCTTCAACACAAGGAATTCACACTCTTCTCATGCAGACTGTCATCTCCCCAGACTCAAGCATCTTTACCTCCTACTCTTCTCCATGACATGCCTATATTAAACTAATTGTGCCTTTTTGGAAGGCAAATTTTGTTGTAGCTTTTTTTGTGCCTGTTTGTTGTTTTACATTCACTAGATTCTGCAATGTTATAATAAAGAGCAATCTATTTTTCAACATCTCTCCCTACAAGGCCCAGGACACAACTGGTAGCAAATCAATTTGAATTCAAAATTTAGGCATGGTGCCAGAAACCCAGCTTGCTAAAAATATCTCCAAGCAATTCACAGGCTATTTATTTATTCTTATTCCTCTGTTTAGACTTACCAGTTTTCAGGAGCATATGCAAACTTCATTTTCCAATGTATGGTTCTATAACACACTAGCCTCACTCTCAATTTTTAATGTTTTATAAGGAATAGTTCTATCCTCAAAGATAATAGTGTTTTAACAAATATATATGAAATTTTCTCATAAAAATCTTCAGGTGGACATAACTAATCGTTCCTTATCTTGCATTTATTTCCTCTTTCCATAGAACTCACTCTTTCCTTGAAATTTCTATGAACAATGATGTTCCTTTTCCCATTGAGCTGTATGCCAATACATCATACAGCCCAAAGAGGGAATATATACCTTGCTCTCCTCCTCCTAATGCCATGGCTACTGTAGGACTATTTCTAAGTAGGATCATTTTCAGCAGTCTTGAGAAACTCTGCTGCCGGTGCAATGCAGTATAGTGTTTTCATACTGATTTACTCTAAGGAAATGAATTATATGTTGCCATTCATTTCCTTCCTTTCTTCAACTACAACTCCTTTGCCTGTATTTTTCAGAAGCAACTCATGAATTTCACACTGAATTTTTAGTGACAACAGGAAAACTAAAATTACACAATCACTTGTAATTATATGGGAAAAGGTGTTCTAAACCCATAACCTGAAGAAACATGGATGATGCTAATGAAAACCAGCATACCAGGTGAACAACATTTAATAAGAACCAAAGCAGTATTCTGCAATTAGAACTGTGTTTCTTTAAAGTCAGTTGGATAATTGCCAACTGATATTCTAACAAAAGGAAAAAAGTAATGATGTTGGTTTATAGAGCCTAAAGTAATTCTTATCTGGGTGCCTATCCAAAAAGACTTATCAAACCATTGGACCACACTTGTAGTCATACAAAGTAATTTTATGTAATAGATATGTAACCAATTACAGTTCTAATATAATTCATGTATAAGTACTTAGAAGGAATCAAATGTAATGTACCTTTTCTGTCTCCATCTTGCTTGAAACTTTCCCTGTGTCGTTACTGCTTCTGAAACATAAATTGACCCAGTTTGTAATTTTGTTAAAATGTAATTTGGAAAATCCTTATCAAAATATCAATAGTTTTTACCCTGGAATTGGTTTTGTTTTCTCTTTTCTCTCATTTGTTTCTTGTCCAATAATAGTTTCTGTAAAATATTAAATGAAAGAAAAAACATTTAAGTAAAGAGTTATCATTGAGTCTGCATGCGTATGCATGAATGTGTATGTGTGCATGTGTAATATGTACGTATTACATATGTATGCATGTATGCAATAGAAGATGGAAGCTTATTTGAAATTAAAAGTAAACAAATTCAGCTTATACCAATATAACATTCTTCTTTTATAAGTGCAAATATCCTGCAACATCTTCCATTGCATCAGAGAAGTTCATCAGAGTAAGAAATACCAATGTTGGAATTTAATGCTGTATTGTACCCAAGTAGAACATAGGACTTAAAGATCTATAATTTATCCAGGAAAGCCATTCAGGTAAAAGGAAACTAACCTGGATGTAAGTGATAGGACATGAGAGCATGAGAGTGTTCCATTGGACTAGCTGGAGGGTACAAAAGCATCCTTCCTTTTTATGCCAGAGAATATATTCAGCAGTTAATTTAAAGTAAAATATTTGTAGAATTTATTTGTAGGTTCTGGAGACTTCAAAAATAGTGAGACTAAATGCATCTCATGCATTTATGCATACTTAATTCAGAATGTAACCCAGCATTCTTGAATTTATGCTTACTGCCCAAATGATTGGACCCCACTGTGGCCATATCAATACATGATACCATCAACTTCCAGTCCATGGGTGGCAGATTCATTGAAATAAGTCATCTGAGTGGCCTCGGCCTCTGCTTCAGCACTGATGATCTGCTGTGCCACAGCCTCCACGATGGGCATCACCATGGCAGCAGTAGATGTGTTGCTAAGCCACATAGATAAGAAGGCAGTACTGCTCATGAACCCCAACGTCAGCCTGAAATGAGAGGGTCTTTAGTGTGGACCTGTGCTGTCTAGCTCATGTAGCTCTCTATATTCTCTAACTGTAAAGGATATTGTTTGCAAATTGTAAACTATGTGTTTAATAACACAGAGGATAAAGTTTCTGCTCAGATGGGGAACTCTGAGTGTAGTTATATAGACAGGTAGAATCAACATAAAATATGTAAGGGTCATGTTATTAAGATTTATATATCCCTTTAAGGGTACTAGAAGAACATTCTTCCAAAAATTAGATAAATGATTAAATTTACACCTAACTGCAAATTGGCATATAGCACAACAGATTGCAGTTACCCCAATACTTGAGTACTTTCCTTTGAATGGCTAGTTATCTTTAGACACAAGTAAAATGACAGTGCAGCCAACCTATGAGAGTCCCTTGCTTTTATTTCATCCTTTGACCATTTCTCTGTTAGTGTGTGCAGCAAACAGAACCAGGAACGGGATTAATATTTATAAATCTTCCATTCATTCATTCACTCTCCTGGCTCAATATATAGTGGGTGGAGAAAATGGTTACAGTCCCTTGATAAAATGAAGTTTCAGAATTTTCTATAGATTCTATTATTTATGCTCTGTTGAACCTAGCATTTCTTCCTGTTGTCAAGAATTAGATTTATTACTTGTCTTCTCTTATAAACAGAGTAATTTATCCTTAAAATAACAAATCTGAGACTTTGGGACTTCAAGCGTTTCTATAAACTTTCAAAATAATACTTGGGGGGAAGTTTGATCTGATAGGAGACCCTCCAAATCATTCAGAAGCAGATATTTCTATGAAGTGCCAATTATAGACTCTTCTTTTTGAAAATAGATCTATATAAACCGTTCTTTACAATGTTTCAGACTCGAGTATGGTGAATACTTTCTATTTGTGAAACAACATAAAACATCTTAGAAATCTGTTTGAACAAGAAATAATTAAAAATGAAAACTTTTAATATATACTATCTGTATAATAAGTAGTTATTCCATATCAAAAATATTAGCATCAGGTAAAACTTCTGCTGGTGGAAATGCCTCAGACAAAAGAGCCATATAGTGATGTAACAGACAGGAGTCTTGCTTTACTGTGCAGTGTGCTAACCTTTCTCCCGGAGCAATGGCCAGATAGTCAAGGAAAAGATGTCTATGGTACCCAAGAGGAAGAGACACTATTCTACTGTATTTATATAATAAATATACTATAAATACATTTGTATAATAAATTTTCTAAGCAAGATATTTTGTCAAATTTGTCTCATACGTGTCATATGTACACAGAGAAGTATGCATGAATATACATACATAGTATTAGTATTTTAGCAAAGAAACTTACTCCACAGTGGTAAACAGAGAATCTGCTATGCCCTTCAAGAAATTACACAACAGAAGTCAATTTTTCTTCTTATTTTCCAAAGAATGATAAGGAGAAAAACCACCTAAGGCTTTAAAGTAAAACATTATGCAAATGATTATGACACTGGAAATGTTCCTTAGCTGATGTTCGTGTTTATAACAAGAGGTGGAGTAGAACCCAAATAGCCAATTAATTTAATGGAATTTTAAAAAAGCATCCATTTCAGTGAAGGGAAATCAGTCAAATGAGTAATTTCATGTCTAGAAGAAAATTTTCAATTGATTGTTTCTCTTTGCAATACTTGATTTAAAAAGAAAAATGTGTTCACCTTGAAATTTTTCTGCACAGATTTGTATTCTGTCAGTAATGTCTTTGTCTTTGGTTCAGAACATCCTCCCTGTTGATGAAGGATGCTCTTGAATGAGTTTTGAATGTGTAATCAGCCAAATAAACAAAGTGGGATTGAAATCTACTCTGAAGATATCAGTCTCCTTTGTTGAGGTTCAAGGCTCCTCTCATCTTTGACTCCAATGGTGCATTTAAGGTGAGAGAGTTGTGTGCATTTATTCCAATCTCCCTGAAATTTGACCTGCAGTGAAGGGAAAGCTGTTTTCTTCTCTTCCTACCCCTCAAGCACATTTCACATCCCTTTCATATTTTCAGTCACCCTGCTACCCAAGTCATGTCTGCATTACTTATTTGTTATTTCCTCTACATGAAATGGTCTGCTTGGGATATAGTCTGGAAGAAGTGAACACAGTACTTACCAAGCCGGATTCACACCCACCATCATCACCATCCTCAGAGCAATCCTCTTGTGTAAATTCCATTTTTCTATTGATGTTGCTAAACAGATGACTCCAATTAACAGCAGGTGAAAGTCTTTGAAATAAGAAGAGGCCACCTGGAATTGCATTTAACCCATGATTATGTATCATGGTTGGGAGAATGATGTACAACAAAGACATTCATAGGCTACTATTCTTAACCATGACCTTAAACTATGTAATTTTCTATTGTGTCAAAAATGTGTTTGAATGCAAATATGAACTATAATTTTATTCAGAAATAGTGCTATTTAAAAGGATACAGGGAAATATGTGTACACAGAACGCTAGATTTTAAAATAAGAGTTGCTTCATACAAGTGGTCCTATGCTATAATTTCTCCTCCTATAAACTGATGTGACTTTTAAAATATCCTATAGTGGAGTGCAAATAACTGAAATGTCAGGAAATTCCACCATCACTCTCCACCTTCTGGGAGTCAGCCCTGGTTGTGGCAAAGTCCCAGAGAGGAGATAAGGAGTAGGCAAGATAAGGATAAGTCAGGCATGATGGTTGAGAGAATCTTACAGCATGACTGACTAGCAGACAGAGTGCTTCTTTATTTATATAGAATTTAGTAAACAGGAATAAATTCATGTTGTTCCAAAACATAGTTCATATCACTTTTATTTCTGAACATGTGTGTAACTTTTTTCTCTTGCACATCTGGGGTTATAAGTTTAGTTGTCATTGATAAACCATGACAGAATAGAGTTATCTTTTATAATCATTTTTACTCATCAACCCCATAACCCAATTTTTAAGAATCTAGAAGCATATGACAGCCTGTTCTCAGGCTGGTAGTTTCTGTGGCTAGACCAAAATGAAATCTCCAAGCCAGCCGGGGGAAAATTGCCATGTCTCAAGCATGAGTGTCCAAGAAGAATTTCCAGGCCAAAGGTGCTTTAGTTATTATTCAATTTCTAGCATAATATAATGTTTTATATTTCATATCTTTATAGAATTTATTTATATGTCTAATCCTGGCACTATCTCGGTTTTTGGCCATAAGACTCTACAGTGGCCCTGCATAAGCTAACTTTTCTAAGAAAGGGAGGTCCTGACACCTCATTCTTTTATCATCTTTCTATATCATTCTTTGTCCATCAATGTAAGTCCCTGTGTAAGGTAGAGTTAACTGTAGCTAATATAACTTTGTTATTGTATATATCATGTAATCTCCAGAGTGTATACTAGGAAGAGCCTTGTAATCTGATCTGTGGCCAACTCTTCTAGCCCACTGAATATTGTAGACCTTTTTAAGTTTACTTTGTTTTGATTATTTTGTTCCTGAATAGGTACAGGGGCAGATGTTTCAAGAATATCTCAGAACCTCATAAAGAGACCTCTGGCTTCTTTATGTGCATCACAACCTCCAAGGCATAAGGAAGACCTTCAAGTAAATAAGGATATCTCCCAAAGGATGTCTGCTATGCTCAGGACTTTCCTGGGGAAGCTTAGAAACAGTACTCCTGGGAGAAGGCATAAATGAATTGTAAGAAAATTTCCACCAATCCAATATCCTCAATTGTACAAATGTTGGAAGTCCCCAAGTATACAGCAGGTGGAGATGAAAACCAAAGGTGGCACAGTGGCCATCATGCGACTCAGCTTTGCTGGATCTTTGTCAAGCAGCTGTGCTGGCCTTTTACTTTTGTGGTTCCCATCAGATATAGCTGTGCCACACACCCCTCCAAATCTTTTTTTTCACCAACCAAATACACATCTTTATTACTACCTGCTTTCTGATCACTGTAGTCCTCCTGCATATTTGAATGATTTCATCTTCAAAATTATTTATTATATATTTTAAAAGTCCTTACCTAAAGGCTATCACTTTAAACCTCTGTGGGATGTCTTTCTGTATGCTGTGAATATATGTTGCTCTGATTGGTTGATAGATAAAGCTGTTTGGCCAATGATGAAGCAGAATAAGGTTATGCAGGACATCCCAACTAGAGAGAGAGGAAGGAGAAAGACAGAGCTGAGAAGATGCTACTAGTTGCCACTAGGAGAAGCAAGATGTAAAGTACCAGTAAGCCACAAGTCAAGTGGCAAAGTATAGATTTATAGAAATGGGTTAATTTAAGAATTAAGAGCTAGCTAGCAAAAAGCCTGAGTCATTAGGTCATATAGTTTGAAAATAATATAAACCTCCATGTGTTTATTTGGGTCTGAGCAGCTGCAGGACTGGACAGGACACAAGAAAACATCCAGCTTCATTAAACCACTTTTACTTAATATCACTCAGAGAGGAACTCTGTCCAGGCACTTTGAGTGACCATGTGCCAGAGTAATTCCAAAGAACTTCTAATATGTTAAGTACAAATCTTCCCACTCCATGAGAATTGTGTGTTCAGTCAACTCTTAAAATACTAGATTTTCCCCCAAAAGGCTTTCATAAAACCTTTAAATGATAATTTATCTCTTTTTTCCCCAAAAAGTGGCATAGCTTACTGCCCATTTTCATAATGTCTTTACTTTTAATAAATTAACTTGAAATGTGTTAAAAGAAACTTCTCATGCAACTGATATTTAGGAGAACTGACATTAGGAAATGCCTTATAAAATTAAATCACAAACTGTGCAGAAAGGAGGGGATTGTGAGAGGAAATATCCTTTCACACCCCTGGCAATGTGAAAAGGAGGGACAGAGCAAAATGATTACAATGCCATGAAGGACAGAGCAAAAAATGAATTCTGGTGATGATTTTGCTATTTTGAATTGTGTCTTCACTTATAACTGACCTGATTTCAGTAAAATAAAAAGCTGATGCTAATTCTTGAAATTAAAAGCAGACAAGCAGAAACCTTTATAATGTTTTGTAAAACATTGACTTTTAAAATTCATTTTAGTGTATGTTACTTATTTATATTTGGTAGTAATTAGGCAATAAAAATAATAGTATTATTTTATGTATTACTGTAACCTTGAAAGTGTATCTGTCGTATATCCTATAGTGTTAAAGAAGCAGAGGATTGGAGGTTAATGTCTGACATCAGTGCACTGAAAGCGGGTTAAAGGAACTAAGTCAAGCACAGGAAGACAAGATGTGTGAGTTCCCACAGGTGGAAGCTAAGACATGATTTCATCGAAGCAGAGATTGGTGGTCCTTAGAAGTTACAATAGGGAATGGGAAGAAGGAGGGTTAGAGGCTGGGTACCAAGAACTTTTAGAATAGAGGTTTAAACTTAAATATTCTAAAGCACAAAAGGTTAACTAGAGTTCACAATAACTGATTACATCTTTTTAAGAAAAACTAAAAGAGAAGAATTCAAGGTTTCACCTCACAAAGAACTGACAACGATTTGAGGAGCTGGAGAAGCTCTCATCAGAGACAAAAGGAAAGACGTTCAATAGGTTCTCCCCCCTCTAAATGTCTTCAGGGATGAAATGTCTGGAATTTCTACGTAAATCATGCTGTCTTTCTGACCCACCTTGCTTCTTTTCTTTTCCATATCTTGCAACTGCTTTCTTAACTCCATGCTCCCTGTCTTACCCCTGAAACCACATGTCCTGAGGCTTCAGAAACTTGATGTTTTTAGATCATCATATGTCCTGACACAAAGTAAAAACAGTAAATAATATTAAATAAATTAAAGAGGAAATGAAGGAAAGGATTTTTAAGCTCCCACCTCCCTTCCAAATGTGGTTATTCTGTTCTAAGCCTTCCAGACACCTAACTCTGGGACATAACTGTGTTAGTATATTGACTTTCTTGTGTGTTTGTACTTGTGAACAACTTTTTCCCTCAATAGTTTGTTCCTTGCTCATTGGCAAGTTTTTTTCTTGCCTACTTTGAAATGTTTAAAATCTGATCTCACAATTGCATTTCTCCAGAAGGTTCCATGTGTGCTCTTCTTGTTTCATACATCCAATGGCAAATGCTGGAGATAAAATTCCTTTCTGCATGACTAACATTCATACTATCTAGCATAGTAGAGATAGATCAACTACATGCTTACTGAATGAGTAGTGAGAACAACACTATGCTCTTTGTATCCTGATAGAGAAGTCCAGGTTCCAGAATAGGAACCCAACAGACACTTCTATTTTCCACAAACACCTAAAATCACAGTAATGCAAAATGACACCCATTTTCTCAATTCAAACATCCTACATTTTCTTCTTCTTGTTCCCTGTTTCATGAAGAATAAAACTACATCTATTCTGTTGCCTAAGTCAAATTTCGGAGTTATCTGTGATTCACTTTTCATTTTCAATATATGTACCCTGTTCTTTTTATATTCTCTATATTTTTAAATGCATTGAGTGTTCTCCATTCACACATGATTACCTTAATCAAGGCCCCCACCTTTCTTTTTCTCACACACCCTAAACCACCACTACTCACTTTTCTAAAGTGTGAATCTGTTTGTGTTATTGATTTTTTTACACCCTTTCAGTTAATTCTATGGTATCTGAGACCAAATCCTTTATTCTACATACATAACCCATCAAACTTCAGGTTCATTTTATCTCCCCAGTTCAATATTCTATCCCTTCACCCAAGTGCTTTCTGTGTATAGATTTCCCCAAACACAAAAATAATTTGGTATTTGTTTCCGTTTTAAACAGAAATAGCCTTTTTATGTTTCTTCCAAACTCTTAATCTTCTTTCATGTGTTAAAATGGATGGTAACTCTCCAAAGATTCCTTCTCTGGGACCCTAAGTTGGACTACATCATATTTCTTCATGATATGACAAAAACCAGTGTCTATTATGTTGATTTTTTTCACTTAATGTCCGCTTCATTTGACCAGATAATTTTGAAGATAGAATGAATTATATTGATCAGGTAGTTACGAATTTAGCATGTACACAGCACATATTGTTTGTGTTTAATAGGTATTTAATGACCAAGTCCCTAGGTTCAAGAATCTTGTAAGTTATTAAATGAAAAGAAGCAAGTTAGCACAGAAAGCAAGACCGTGTCATGGGTATATTGGAGATAACTTCTTCAAGGTATAATTAACTTTCAAAGAGTAAGTTAAGAAAGGACCACTTTTCCCTAGGAAATGTGGGAAGTCATTCTGCAAGACCTGATACTCAAATTTGGAAAGATGCTCTTAACT